AATTATTGGTTCAATTTTTTAGGAATAAAGCTTTTTATTATTATTATTTTGCTTAATTCATGTCAATAATCCACTCTGCAGTCCAGCCGCATGAGCTGGTGCGTTGCTCAATGGAGGGGGCAGAGAGACACAGTGCTGGGAAGTGAAACTCTGGCTGAGGAACTGTTTCATTGTACTACAGTCCTGTTGGCCCATCAGGTTCCTATAGTGTGACCTGGATATTCCAACATGTACGGAGCTCCTTGGTCATTAATAGTGAGCTGTACACTGCTTGGTCAGGTAGCATTATGAATTTATGCCCAGTGAAACAGGGACACAACATTGCAAATCTGCTGAACTTGGGAGATAATGCACCATGGATTCTTTAATCTTTAAATATTTATGCTGACTTTACCTTATGGGAAGCAAAGCAGTATCTTTCCTGCAAGGACTTCAAAGACAAAGTTACCTTGTTCATCCTCACACTTCTCTGGAATTAAGTTCAATAAGTAGAATTAGGCACCTACATCAAGCCCATACTTTGAAAAAGACTCCTAGCATTTTTGAAGGAGACCCTACTGGAACACTCATGGCTACTCAGCACTAGTGACTCCTATTTTAGTGCATCCATATGGGGGGAGAACCCCACGCTTCATTATGTTGGTCTTAGGCTCAAGTGCCTGAGTGTCAGGCCCAGAGGTGCTAGTAAAGGTTTTTGCTGTATCTGAGGAAGGAGAAGGAGGAGGAGGATTGGCTCTCACTCAGACCTCCTCTGTGTAATACAATGTGCAGAAGTACTAAACCAGCACTGATCTCGGATGCTGGGACATAGATGGAACAAGCAGGGAGAGGCAGAACCTGCTTTACTACTGAAAAAGCACTTCACTTAATCCCAACAGGAAGGAAATGGTCTGGGACCCACTAGATGCATTGGTTGGAAAGCATGTGATACAGAAGGCGCTGGTGGACATGAAAACTTGGGTATGAAAATAAGCTTGACCCAAAGAAGTGCGTATTTGGCCATTAGTCTTAACACTAGAAGTACTCAGCTGTTGTGCAACCCTGGGCGATTTATCTGGTTCAAGGATCAACTGCACTTGATTGCGTACAAAGACAGCTCAGTTTTACTGGTTTAGATGCACACCACCACCTGCAAATGTAGCTCTTCTAGGATCTGGCAGATATACATCTGCTGTACTGTAGAGCTGAGCTGATAAACCATGCACTGAGGTTAACTGTGTGAAAAACGAGCTTGGGCATCTTGGTACAACATTGTAGAGAGCATGCTCAGTCATGCTCCTAACTCCCAGTGCATTGTAAGGACCTGCCGCTCCTGTTCTCCCCAGCTCCTATGGCATCAGAGACTTTTCAGCTGTTAAAACCAGGCCAGATGTACTTCGGTTTAGATTTTTTCTCACACAGATTTTCTCACAGGCA